CTGACGGCTGAAGGTCTGGATTCCATGGCAGCTTTCATTGGCCAAGGCCCGCCCATGAGACCGACATGTCAAACAACCAATCACAGTTCGTTTCGTTTCAGCGTCACGTTTCGGGGCGTGGAAATGTCGCCACAATAACTACCAGTGTGCAAATCTCTCTGACGTATTTTAAAGATTCTATGCCACAAACTTTAAATATTTCACATACTTTTGAGAATCCAACGTTTAGTTGATCCTGATAAGCGCTCGTTGTCACAGTTGTAAACACGGCAGCTTTCTTCTTTCGTGAAGGGTTTGGCGCCACGGCATCTTTGTTTCCAGGCGGAACGTTAAAGAACGCGACACACACGTCTCCCGGAAATCCTGTATAATTTAACCAATCCAATGACGACTTCGAAACTCCTGAAGTGTTTCCACTTTTGTGTGCCATATGCATCAGACGTTCAGCCAACGGTCCGTGGGCGTGATGTCTGAGGCTGAGACTAGGTGAAACTAATCTTCTTCCTCTGAGGTTTAATGGTGTTTGGCAAACAAACGTTTGTGTCTGAGCGCCGCCCACTGGACTGGAATATGAAGCATCGAGAGGAGGAAAATAATACCGGGAAAATTACTTGGTGTGTGCACAACATCTGTTTTTGTATTGTTCTTTAAAAAAGACGATCTGCACAAATAAATGAAAAGGAATTATAATTTAAAAAAAAAAAATTATAGACTCACATGGTATTTGAGCAGCATCAACAGTCTTCGTGAGTGAGGATTAGAGGAGAAAATGAGCGAATTGTTAGTCAAATATTTTATTGAAAATCACATAACGTTGCAGCATTTAAATATGGAAATTAAGATCAATGAAAAGATGTAGCCTATTTAAAAATAATAATAATTTAAAAAAAAAACACGTAAGTACAAATGTACAAACAAATAGACATACATACAAAATATCCTATGTGAAAATATCCTTGTGAACACAGTTATGTCTTAAGTCCCAGATATTTAGACGGACACATAACCCAAGGGTGTTGTTTTTCATGCTAAACCTGTTCAATATTTTGGATTTATTTATTTATTTTTATTTTATTATTATTATTTTTAATTAGGCTACATCTTATCATTATCACGTGTTTCCATTTATCTTAATTTCCATATACATGCTGCAACGCTGTGTGATTTTTCAATTAAATATTTGACTAAATTCACTTGTTTTTTCTCCTCTTATCCTCAATCACGAACTGTTGAGGTTGGTCAAATACCATGCGAGTCTATCCCCCGGTTTCACAGACAAGGCTTAAGCCTATAGTCCCAGACTAAAATGTAAGTCTGAGCTGTTTCATCTGAAAGAAACTTGCAATGATTGATCTTAAAATATATCAATGCCTTTCTTTTGTCTCAAGATGGACACCAGTAATGATTTTTTATATGGCACATTTATAAAAATTACTTAAATGTCCTAATTGAACTATGGCCTAATCCTGGCTTAGTCTAAGCCCTGTCAGTGAACAGTCTATAATTTTAAGACTTTTTCATTTATTTGTGCAGATAGGCTTTTTCTATTTTCAACTTTTTCTATAAAATTTCCCCGTATTATTTTCCCACCCCACGACGCTTCACACTCCAGTCCAGCGGGTGGCGCTAAGACACATACATTTGTTTGCCAAACACCATTAAACCTCAGAGGAAGAAGAATAGTTTCACCATAATCTCTGTTGTTTTGTCTTGATGCTGGCTTAATACAAACAGTTAGAAATTTAGTTTCTGTAAGTAGAAAAATACAGTTTTTGAATCAGGTCAGTAAATACCTATAATATTCTCATCCTCAAAGTCGTGACTAAGTTTTGAAGCAAGCAGGAATATCTGGAGGATTTCGCTCCACTAGTGACGTTGCAAAGTGATCTAATTATAATATTACCACCCCTTAATCTGTAATTTTCCACCCACGCCCGTCAGTGTTGCCAAGTCCGCTGTTTTCCCGCGGAATTGGGCTACTTTAACACTGTTGTCGCGGGTTGTTTTTCATGTCCGCGGGTTGAAACGACTCCAATAACATGATATTCATCCCGTTATTCAAAAAACTTGTATTTTGTACTGCACACGTCTGTGGCGTGTTATGGCTCCGACAAGGTTTTGTTCCATCCTCCACGTGTTTAGCGTTAAGGCCCTTTCACATGGGACGCGACAAGCGGTGGAATCGCCACGCGGCTGCTGCTTTCTCTCGTAGTGAAAGCATTTTGTGCAGTTGCAGGCAGTGCTTCAGAAATGTGCTGCAGTGCGGCTGGTGTATAAACACAAGCATTGACTTAGAGTGGCTGCGTCGTAAGACCGCAGACGCATGCAGTGTAAAAAGCTGTAACAGATGCATGATGGCGGCGTGTGAAATGAGACCGGCACCGTCTACGTTAAAAGCTATTGTATGGAAGCACTTTGGCTTCTATGAAGTTGAAGGGGGAAAGACCATGGACAGGAGTCACACTATATACGAGTTGTTTCAAGCCAAACTAAAATATTTTGGAAACACAACAAATATGAGAAACCATATTACAGAATATGCTTAAGGCTGTATTAATTTACTACAAGTATGCTGCTACAGGCACGTTTCATTTCCCGTTGGTTCTTTGTAACCTTGTTGTTGACTTGCCAAATCACTTCCATTTGTTTTTATTAATAAAAGATCTTGGAAATAAATTAATTATGGGTCCTTCCAGATACTTTGCTTTAATAGTCAAGACAGTGAGAAAAAAGAAAATCTGTATTAAAACAAAAGATGCATTGATAATGGTTTTATCATCGTATCACAGCCCTCTGAATCGTAATTGAATTGAATCGTGAGGTGCCTATAGATTCCCACCCCTAGCTCTCATGTTGCTGCTACTGGCTGTTTATTGCTGTAAGTATACAAAGCAGAGAGACGTATATGCTACACTTCTTCTGGAGACGGGGCGGGATCATACAGCTCATTTGCATTTAAAATGATACACCAAAACAGTTTTTTTTTAAGACATGCTCCAAAAATGACATTTCCCAGATGTTATAATAAATTATCTGTACGGTATTTTGAGCTGAAATTTCACAGACATATTCTGGGGACACCCAAGACCAATATTACATCTTGTATAAAGGGGCATAATAAGTGCCCTTTAAAATTTTAGTAGCCAAGTTGGCTGGTGAGTGAAAAATTCAAACCCTGCACAAATTCACTAATGCATTGAGGCGAAGGTCAGCATTAGTTTTTTTTTTTTTTTTTACAATAATTTGTGCACTAATAACAGAACCTTCATGTCATTTTTCAAAACTCTAGACACATAATTCACAACCGATGATCAAAATGCAAATTTTTCAAATCACTTAACACTTTTTCCAAATGTGTGGATACAATACACATGAAACAAAGATCTTTTGTTCAATTGAACTAAAATCACCGGTTCAAAATGACACAACTTCATGTGTTATTAATTCATAATAAATTAGTTTTTTGAACCAATGCTTCTGCAAATGCATATTGCATTCATATCTTTAAAGAAGCCTTGCAAAGTTTTGAACATTGGACAGCCTGTGTTACAAATAATGACTGTTTTGAGTTTTGTGTCTAGAGTTTTGAAAAATGACATCAAGGTTCTGAAAATTGGTGACAATGATTGTAAAAAAAAAAACTGTAAAACACTTTTCCAGTCACGTTATTTAATAGTCTCTTAATTCATTGCAGTCTCTTTTTCTGTCTGTACTGCTGTTTTTATACAATATGCAGAATGTCAGTGTGCAACATGATCACTTTATTTATCAGGACTTTAACAAATGCACTAAATGTGCTCTTAATTTCATTGTATGCAGAAAAATACAATGACAAAAATGGCTTTCAATTCAATTCAGAAGATTTATTGATAAATTTACAACAAAGCCCAAAAAGCAAACATGTTCCTAATGCAAATACAATCAGCAGACAATAAAAGTTGATAAAATATAAAAAGTAACAATATCGTATTAATAAAAAGGTATCTTTTAATCAGTAATTATTGAACGCAAAAGTGATCAATAATTACTGAAAAGTGAAAACTAATGAGATGGATCTCTCTCTTCTACTGACAAGCAGGGATGGGTATCATTAAGGTTTTAACGGTATTAATATTCTTACAATACTGCACATCAGTCCAGTTCTTTAACAGTATTCTTTTTTTTTTTCATCATATAAAAGGGGGGAAAAATGATTGGCTTTATATTCTCAAATGTAAAAATCTATAGCAAATAAACAGCATGTTTGAACAAATTACTATTATAAAAACAATGAATATATATATTTGTAATTGCACCAGTATGAAGGTCAAATGTCAAATAACACTGTATTGTCTTCCCTGTATAAACTGATGGATTAATGCTTATTAATGCTACTAAAGTAATTCAGACAAGTTTAGAGAGTGAAGTTTCTCTTTTTCTTTTGTTGTTTGATTATCATTAATGGCACAGCTGCAGGTTTATTAGGCTGCTGTCACTTTAAGAACTAATGCATGGATCCAATATACTGACACATCAGATTTTCTTCAATGTATCACTTTACCTCAAACATCTTGTTTTCATAATCCATGGAAGACAAACTCGAAATCGAAAATAAAATGAGATTAATTGCACAGACCTAAAGTGCAAGAGAGGTCTCTCTTGCAAATAACGGAAATGCATCAAACAAACGTCTTGATATTATCGCATATAGAAACGGTTGGCTAGATACAAATAGCTTGATAATATTTATGCAGCAATAATAAATTGCAAGTGTTTTTTGTATGTCTGTGTAGAGTAGATGATAGATTGAAACGCTTCCCACATGCAGTGCAGTGATACGGTTTCTCTCCAGTGTGGATCCTCTCGTGTCTTTTCAGAGTTGTTGACCGACTGAATCTCTTGTCACAGTGTGAACACTTGTATGGTTTCTCTCCAGTGTGAACTCTCATGTGAACATCAAGATTATATTTGCTTGTCAAACTCTTTCCACACTGAGTGCAGGTGAAAGATTTCTTGGCTCTTCTTTTCTTTAAATGTTTCTGTTTGGTTTGAAAGCAACTCAAAGGTTTTTCTCCAGTTTTAACATGATTTGTTACCTCAAATTCACTTAATTCTTCATTCTCCTCATTTTCTTCAACTCTGAAATAAAAGTAAAAACAGTTCATTTGTCAGTAACTCAAAAAAAAAAAAAAAAAAGATAAATGTGAAAGGACATAAAAATGAATCCTGATGTAACAGTGGATAGTAGACAATTGTTTTACAAAAGTTTTATTATTTTGATGCGATTTTATAAATTATACATCCCTGTAAATAATGTACCATGAAAGAGGTACAATGATCTTCAAATTATTATTTTTTAAATTATTATTTTTTAAGTATTGTTGCTATGTGGTTGCTAGGGTACTTGGGTGTTGTTATGCAGTTGTTAAGATACACTGAGTGGTTGCTAAGGTATTCTGGGTGGTTCATAGGATCTTGCTATGTGGTTGCTAGGTTACTTGGGCTGGTTGCTATGGTGTTTCTATGCGGTTGCTAAGATACTTGGAGTGGTTGCTAAGGTGTTGCCAGGGTACTCGGGTGATTGCTAGTGTGTTGCTATGCAGTTGCTAGGGTATTCAGGGTGGTTGCTATGCAGTTTCTAGGGTATTCTCGGTGGTTGTTAAGGTGATGATAAGCAGTTACTAGGGTACTTGGGCTGGTTGCTATACAGTCACTAAGCATGTCACTACACTCTAAAAAATGCTGGGTTAAATTCAACCCAGTGCTGGGTAAAATAGGGACAAACCCAGCAATTGGGCTGTTTTGACCCAGCGGTTGGGTTAAATGTTTAACCCAACCTTCTGGGTAGTAACCCGCTGGGTCAAAACAACCCAATTGCTGGGTTTGTCCCTATTTTACCCAGCACTGGGTTGAATTTAACCCAGCATTTTTTTAGAGTGTAGCATGATTTAGCACAAAACCAGTTAAAACCAGCTAAAGAGAGTTTATTTAATGAAAACCAGCTAAAACCAGTTAATTTAGTGAAAAACGCTAAAACCATCCCCTATAAATGCAATTGGGGTAGAAATGCAAGAGATGCTTCTAGATATTAGAAGGGAATGTTGGCAATAACATAATGGGTGAATCTTCAACAATCAACGAACAGTGTTGGGGAGTAGCTAGCTACAAGTAGCGACACTACTAGCATAACTACATTTTTAAGTAGCTGTACAGTAGCAACGCTACTTTTAAAACAGTGTAGCTTTTCCTGTAGCTAACTACTTCTTCCAACAAGTAGCGGTGTAGCGAGACCAAACGCTACATTCCGTTTTGCGTTCTGACGAGTCATGAGCCTGTAATGCACTGAAGCAGCACAGTATCTTCTTCTGACGAGATCACAAACTAAATTTGTTCATTACCGCCATCTGTTGTGATCTCACGCATCGCACGGCTTTACAGTCTTTCCACCAACAAGAGATTGTCTGATGATTGTGCAAAGGATGTACAAGAGTGGATATTTCACATAAATCAACTGTCATTTACGCAAAACAAAGATTAAAATGCGGTCTACGTCGAAGACTTAAAGCACATACAGGAGGTGAATAATTTTTCTTCTTTATTGCACTCTAGATCAAATGTCTATTTTACAATGATGAACGGTCATAATATAATCTGTGCCCCACAGTTTTGTAAATAATACTAATCAAACAGAAAATAAAATCGCGATATAGTAGTGTGCTTATCATTTTGGCAAAGGATGGTCGTGGTGGGATTCACGCAAAGCGCAGTGTTCACGCGCGCAGCTGATGATTGATGTCTCCATTCACAGTCAGAAAATACCGCACGTGCTGTGAGTTTAACCTGCTTCTTTTATGACTCCTCTGGCAATTTTGCACTTTGACAGTCAGTTTAAGATAATATAACTATATAACTATACAGTATTTTATTATTGTGTGTATCGAATAGTTTACAAAATTAAATGATTGGGACACTTTCTGTCAGTGAAATGGCTTGGAAAAGTGTCCCAATCAACCTCAATTCACCCTACTCTTTGAAATCATGATTGCATTACAGTATGCCATTTTAAACCCAAAATATTTTACTTATAACTTCATTATATTTTACTTATAACTTCACTATAATTCTTCATTAATAATTATTTAGTTATTTGTAATGTTAATTGTAAAAAAAAAAAAAGTGAAAGTAGTTTCAATATAGCTAGCTACTTTTTGATAGTAACTTGTAGTGTAGCTGTCAATGAATAGTCATCTTACAAGTATTTAGGCAGAGGAAAGAGGCATGGATAATAAGAATTTCTTATGGGTTATGCATTGTGTGTGGTGTATCTGAAACTGTATATCATATGCTTTTTATGTGTAGTCAATATAATGAGAGTCGTGATATGTTATTTAGTCACTTTAACCCCTTAAGTGCCACCGGTGGGCCCACAGCCTGTGAGATTGGTAGTCGAATCAGGCTCCTCCTATCGAAGCATCGAATCTTCGACTATTCGGGGTCACCCCTAGTGTGTGTATTAGCTTTTAGTAACAAGCCAATTCTTAGTGAGTTTTATTTTTAATTTTTTACTACATTTTCTTGTCACAAATTAATAAATTACTGTCACTACATAATTTTAAATAAAAGGCAAGGCAAGTTTATTTATATAGCACATTTCATACATGTTAGAAAACACTCTCTGTCTTTTTGGTTCCAGATGTTTTCACCCTCCTTTTCTTCCCTCTCTCTCTCGTATTATATCTCTTACTCATATTCGAGGTACATTGACTGTGTGTTTTCTTGCTTCCCGGCCGTTATACACTTTAAGGAACTGAGAATTCTTCAAGGCGGCAAAGAGATATCGAGGGACCAATTGTTAATTTCTAACAATACACAATGGTAATTCAAAGTGCTTTACATAAAAGAAAGTAAAACAATCATAAAAAAAGATAAAACAGTGGTCAAATATGAAAAATACAATCTCTGAGGTTTCCGATGATATATAGTCAAATATTTGCGGGGTTTGTTATGATCATGTCATTTTGGCTATATGGGGGTGCTCAAATGTCTGATTTCACATAGAACTACTGGTTTTCTCCCAATAAGCTAATACATTTTTAGAGTTTAGTTGCTGTGTTTCTGCACGTTGTTGCGTGAAGAACGCGTCCAAAAAAGGAGTTCATTCAGAGCCCCACAGACACGTTCATGTGCATTCGGGACATGTTGTGCAGATAGCCTATAAGTCGTAATATTAACGTTATGTTGTATAAATAAAGCGTATTCTAATATGAGATAAATGATGAGCTAAATCCAATTGATTGATTAAAAACCTGCTGCTTCATTCTACTAGTCATCTTCAGCGCAAGCAGCTCAAAACAGAAATGCAGAACATTAATAACTACTGTCATATACATATTGTTATAATGAGAGCACTATTGTAAAAAAAAGTTGTGAATTCTTAGGGTTTCGCTGACATTTTATGTTAACTATCTTTTAATCAAAACATAAAACATTATTTACCCCGTTTGTATCTGCAAGGCGTCCGTTACACATTTTCCCTGTGTTAACGTAATTATGACTGTCGAATGTCTGACTTGACTTTTGGTAATATTTTGCCCCGCCCCCAAAACATATGATTTGACTATCAGCAAGATTCGAAAATTCTGATTCGACTATGAAAATCCTTAGTTGGGGACACAGCTAACACACACTTGCAAACAAAAAAAGTCTTTTTTTTTTTGCCAATAATTAAAAAAAATATCTATTCTAGTTTTTGTCAAAAATATTGAAAATAAATTTAATATGTATATTTGTTTTATGTTTTATGTTGCAAGTATTCAGTAAAAACTGTAATGCATGTAAATTTCATGCATGATCATACATTAAATTTTTTTTAGTTTTTTTTGTGAAAGTTCTGTAACAACACTCAAGTAGATATGTTTGCTAAAGATTTCTGATTAGAAAGAACCCACCCTTATAACTTTATGCAGTAATGAACAGGGAAGATATTCAAATAAGTCTCAGTAACCAACCAGAGCTATCAGCGCTGAATCTAAGGCTTATGAGTTTTCTGCCATTCTGCCTGCCAATGAAACCTGACACGGACAAACTCCTTATTCAATAAAATGCTAATTACCACCTGTTGCTATCACATGTCCGGGTGATGTTTGAAAATTGCTGCTAGAAGTTTGTAAACATGCATAAATGTAGACCTGCAAGCACTAGGAGCAGCCATTTCATTTGCACTCTGACACCGCAAACTTCACAATGGATCCACAGAGGGGAAAAAAAAAAAAGATTTTACAGCATTTTGGAAGTTGTAGAAGAACTTTGCAAGTCGAGTGAAGAAGAGTCTGAAAGAGAAGAGAATGAGTCCAGCAATGATGAACTAGACATTTTGGAAGAGTTTTTTTCAGACACAACATAAGGGTAAATCTCTCTCTCTCTCTCTCTCTCTATCTACTTACATTTAGTTACATTTTCCTTGTATATACTTACATTTTACTTATATTTATAATAGGTGTCCAGATAATGCTGATGATGAGGATTGGACTGCTGAACCAACATCATCAGCATCATTTGCTTCAGTTGCTGCTCCTAGCAATTTTGAAGACAGAGTGAGAGCTACAACCAGTGAAGAACGAGGGAGAAGTAGTGTGAGGGGAAGAGGAAGAGAGCATGGAAGACAGACCGACTCAGTTTCTGATACTGATAGATGGCGTGATTCAGAAGAGCCTGACAGTAGCCGCGTTTCCACTGTCGGGCCAAAAGCGGGCGTGCTAGTGCGTGCCAGGGCTGCATGATAAATCGAAATGGAATCGAAATCGCGATTCGGCAGAAGTGCGATTGTCATGCGTATCTTTCGGTGAAACACGGTTCTGTGATCAGCAGTAAACCTCCATCCAAAGGCCAGAGGGCGCTCTCGCGCTGAAACTCCAAATACGCCTCACAAAAGAAACCCAGGAAATGCCGCAGTAGCTGGATAAACAGAAGATTTAACTGCTTTAATTGATTCAACGTGACTAATAAACACACGATTATGACAATATATGATTTATCTGAGTTATTATTATTATAATTTTCATTCAAATAAAGTATATTTATAATGCAATGCCTTTATCACTGCTTAGAATACTATGAAATATGTTGCGTGCCTTATTCTC